ACACACAAGAAAGAATTCTGAATTCAAAATAAGAAGACATTGGTTTGAGTCATGGCTTAGCAAATTATTTAACCTTTATGAGGCTTAGTTTTCTCTCTCAACTAGGGATAGTAATATTTATATTCCTTAGCTGAGAGACAGTATAGCATAGTGGATAGCGTTGACAGTGGGAAAGACCAGAGTTGACGTGCTGCCTTTGGCACATCATGGCTGTGGGATGCCAAGCAACTCTCTACTATTCTTTCTTTCTTTTTTTTCTACTATTCTTTCTATAGTTCAGTTGCTAATCTGTGTTGGCGGAGGGAATTTACATAATAGGAGTTCTCCAACCCTAATGGAATCACAATTCTGAAGGAAAAAAGAAAGCAACAATGGCTAGCGCATCGAAATGTGAGCTGTTGTCATGATCATGATTAATGCCATGCTAAGCTGTCACCTTCAGTCCAGCAGAATTTCAGTTTAGCCCCTGGCCTCTGGTCACGGGCATCTTTGCTGTCTCACTCTGTGATTTCCAGGAAAGGATTTCAGTAAAAATAGATGCAGGTATTAAATGCCCTACTGACTATTTATAGCCTGTAACAAGTCGCTGGCTCTTCATGTATGTGTTTATTTTCTTCCTGGAACCATCATTTTGGCTTTAAAATAACTAACATGGAGAGTTCTCTTTATGGAAGCAGGGCTATGTGGTGGATAGAGCCCTCACCCTTGAGTCAGGAAGACATGGCTTTGAATCCTGCCTAGACATCTAACAGATGTGGGACTGGGCAAATTCCTTAGCCTTTCTGAGCATTGGTAACCTCACCTGTAAAATGGGAATGATTACAGCACCCCTGCTTCACCAGATAACATGAAATAATGTTTGAAGAGTGCTTTGTAAACTTTAAAGTGTTCTGCATAAACATAAGTCATTATTAACGTAGCAGACAAAGACCACAATGTTTGGAGAGTTTCCATGAGTAAAAGATGGTGGAATCTGAGGTACTTTGGAGATGATTAGTGCTCAGGCTTAGGGACAGCCTTATGTATCGGTTAAATAGGTGGCCGCCTAAATAGATTTCAGAAACTAGGAAAGGGAAACCTCTCCCCCAAATGCCTCCATATTCAGTATACCCCCACCCTGCTCCCACAACTTGCTTACCTCTTCATGATGTGTTTTCCAATCTCTGTGGAACCTGTGAACCCAATTTTCCTCACATCTGGATGATCTGATAACCTCTGCCCAACCAAGGAACCTGTCCAAAGGAGGGGCAGCAGAGTGTGAAAGCAGGGCTTCTGGAGGTCCCTGAGACCCCTAAATGATATAACCCATGGATTGATGAAGATGGACTTGCTTTGCTGGCCGGTAACATAACTGAGAAGCTGCCAACACTTGCTTCCTTTTCAACCCTGGCCTGACATCTCTCTTTGACCAGCTGGACTGCCAATGGAATCTTGGTGCACAAGGCGGGCCTCTTTGGTTTACAGTGCAAAGGGAGACCATCATCTCTGCCCCCCTCCCCCCATTTTAGGAGAGCTTTCAACAAGAGAAATGGAAATTTCAGGCCGAGTTCACTCAGCAAGCCAAACTATTGTTCCTGGTGCTCTCTGAGTCTGTAAAGAATTCTCTGCAGACAGAGGAGAATTACTCTCATAACGAAAGGGCGGCTTAATATAGGATTTAGAGCTGGAAGGGACAACAGAAGTCATTTCCTCATCCTAGAGAGGAGGAAACCAAAGCTCAGAAATATTAAATGACTTCCTTAATGTGGTATTTGTAGCAAGTAGATGAGATCACTGGTCTCCCAATCCCAAATCCAGAGCCCCGCCCACTGCATTACTCTACACATTAACTGCCCCCTCCCCATCATTAGCTAGTTAATGTGTCCCTTGTGGGTTCTGAGGGAGTTTTCGACTTTCTCTACCCCTATAGCCCCTTCCCGAATCCTAACTCTGAAAGGGTTTGGAACAGAGGTGTCATACACATGGGATCCACAACACCCCTGAATACAGCTTGAACCAGATTAAAATGTAACTGGGAAATGTTTAACAAAATAAATAAAAATACAATAAAGCACAGGTAATATTACATTTTAATGGTCCGGGGGGATCCTTATGAACCAATTAGTGACTTCCTTTTCTATTTGACACTAGTGGTCTGGAAGACAATGAATTTTACCTAAGATTCGGTCCCCCAAAGCCCTGGCACCTAGAGATGTGAAATCTTGGCTAGATTTGCCTCAGAGTGGAACGGGAAGGCTTGGGAGCCTAGGCTGAGCCATGGACAGCCATCACAAGGAGAGTCAGCGGGTTACCTCAAAGGTTAGGATGGATTCTTAACACATTGTTCAAAGTTCCAATCGTTGTGGCTTACGATTGTTCCAATATGACAATGAAGCATAGATTCTCAGATTTAGAAGACATTAGAGGGGCCTGAGCAAGAATCCCCTCCCCCAACAATGCATATAAATGATTATCCGTGATCAGCCATGGTTGAAGACCTTAAGAAAGAGAAAAACCACTACCTTCTGAGTCGGCCCATTGTCAATCAGACAGTTCGAATAATTAGGATCATAGGTCATGGATTTAGAGCTGGAAGGGCCCTTAGAGGCCATCTCTTTCAGTCTAGAAGATGGAACTCAGAAGTTTTAATTTGCAGTGGCTGGGAAACAGGTCACTGAATTATGCACTGGGCCTTGAGCCAGGACGATCTGGGTTCTATTTGAACCTCTGACACTTACTCAGAAGTGTGACTATGGGCAAGTAATCTGGCCTCTGTTTCCTCATTGGTAAAATGGGATATTAAGAATAGCTTATAGGGTTGTTATTAGGATCAAAGAGATAGTGTCAGTGAAACAATCCTTAAAAAGCCTATGCCAGCATCAGCTTAAAAGTAAGTTGTTCCTCATGGCCAGCCTAGATTTGTCTCTTTGTGTCTTCTGCACACGGCTACCAGCTCTGTCCTCTGGGGCCAAACAGAGCAGTCTACTGCCTCCTGCCATAATAACTCTTTGAATACTTGAGGGCAGCTCTCCTGTCCCTCCTACACCTTCTCTTCTTCAGGCTAACCATTCCCAGGTCCTTCTACTGCTCCTCACACGGCATGATCTCATAGACCCTTACCATACTGGTCACATTCCCCTAGACTCTCTTCTGCTTATCAGTGTTCTTCCTAAAATGCAGTGCTTAAAAAGGAGGAGAGGAAATGTTCTATATCAGTCATGGGCCAAGCACTTTATAAATATCTCATTTGATCTTCACAACATCCCTGGGAGATAGGTGCTATTATTACTTCCATTTCATAGTTAAGGAAATTGAGCAGACAGAGATTAAGTGACTTGCCCGGGGTCACAGAGCCAGTGAGTGTCAGAGTTTGGGTTATGAATTCAGGTCTTCCTGAATCCAGGACCAGTGCTCTCCGTTGTACCATCCAGCTGCCTCACAAAATGAGCACGGTGTTCCAGATGTGGAATGACCAGGGCAAAACAGCAGGATTACCATTTCCCTATTCCTACTGACACCTGACCTGAGTTCAAATTCTGGCTTTGCCCTATCCTTAGGCAAGTCACTGAATCTCTTTGGGCCTCAGTTTCCTCTTCTGTAAAATGAGGTAGCTAATCTAGATGAGCTCTGAGGTCCCCCAGCTCCAACATTCTGTGCCCCTATGACCTACACATACGTATCGAGAGAAGAACAATTCTAATGCTCTGTATTCTCAAAGGGACAACTGTAACTTCAACACAGTGGAATGGGATGCCTTGTGAGATAGGGAGTTTCTCATCATGGAAATAATCCAGACAGATCACCTCTTCTGGATATCATAGAAGGAAGGTTAGAATAGAGACCCTCCAAGGCCCTTTCCAACACTGACATTCTAGGATTTTAGATAGTGTCAAGAATGGTATGGGCATATGGAAATGTTTCCTCTCTGCATTAAGGAGGCCCTGTGACTTCTGTCCTTCAAGGAATGGGGTGAATATAGCCTTCCATTTAACTCCATTTCAAGGGACTGGATTTTCTGAATGAGGCTGAAGGCAGGCAGGGCACTGAATTTGGAAACAGGGAGCCTGGGTTTGAATCCTGATTCTTCAACTTAACACCTATGTGGTCTTGGGCTAGCTCCAACATCTCTAGGCCCCAGCTCTCTCCTCTATAAAATGAGGGGTTGGGATAGACCCCTAGGAATCCTTCCACCTCTAAATCTTATGAATTATTATGAGAGGTAGTAAGGTGTGATAAATAGAGGGCTAGCCTTGGACTCTGGAAGACCCAAGTTCAAATCCTGCCTTTAACATATATCAGCTGGGGCCATGAACATATAACCTTATGTCTGATTGTACTAGACAATTTTCTAAGGCTATATATACCATTGAAGGGGATTTTCTCTATTGTGAGTTCCCCAATGAATGAAATCCCAGGTCTAGACCAAAACCACAAAACAAAACCCAAATTCACTTATGACACATGAGGCTACTTTAAGTGAATTCTGTGTTTCTATGTGACATTTGATGCATGGACATATTATAAGATTTCCACTAATGCCTCCTCTGATGCCTCCTTGTGCTGTGCAGATGACCCTGTGTTCTTGAACTTGACTCTTTGTAGACTGATGGCAGGTTATGCCTTTGGCAGACCCTTCCAATTTGAAAAGACTCTGTGTATGGGCCCAACAATGGCCTATTATTTAAGGTTTTAGATAACCTTGGAGAAGCTTATATCCAGAAGGCTAAGTCCCAGGGGGGACTGGTATGGTTGTAAGGAGTGTTGTCATGAAAGAAATCTAATATCTACTTGTAAGATTTCCAGTTTGTATCATTATAACAGATTAATTCACAGACTTTGAATTGGAGGGGCCCTCAGAGACCATCTGGTCCAATCCAGACCTGAATAAGATTCCTCCCAAATAAGGGGTCATCTGGCACTGGCTTGAAGAGTGAGAGGAAAACCCTTCACCTCCTGAAGTAGTCTATTCCAACTTCAAGAGAGTGTTAATTGTTAGCAAGCTTTTCATATATTGAGTCTCAAATCCCTCTCTCCCTGAAACTTCCCCCCATCACCCTAAGTACTGCCCTTTGAGGTCAAGCCCAAACATTATCTAATCAAGGCAGACTATAGAGCAGCACTATATACTTCTCATTCTGTACACCCTATATTTCTTAGTGCAGACTGCCCTAAATGCCCTCCACTATGGCCTAGATTGCAGTCTGATTCAGGGTACCAACTTCTCCTCTATTTGGGGTTTACTCTAAAAATAAACCAGCCACGGCATGCCTGGTTTCCCACCTCGGTGACCGGCAGATCAGCCACCATTTCTGCAGAAGGAGCAGCCACAGAGGGAAGGCACAATTTGTCAGTGACCTAAAGGCCAGAATTAGTCAGGCCAACTTTCTCCTGCTCAGAGCGGAGCAAGTGGATGCCAACTCACGTGGGTTCTGCCAGTGCACATGTAGGCTAGTGGGGGAGGGAGTTACTCTTTGTGATGGTAGTTATGAAGACAAACTGGGCTAGGAGACAAGAGACCTGGGATTGGATCCTGGTTCTGCAACTAACTCTTCATGAAACTCTGAGCAAGTTTATATAAGTGTGTGTGTATATGTGTGTGTGTGTGTGTGTGTATCTTTATCTATCTACATCTGTATCCATATCCATATCTATCTATATCTATCTATCTATCTATCTATCTATCTATCTATCTATCTATCTATCTATCT